TTAAGATATGAAGTAGGAAGACAGAGAGAGGACATGAGGATTTGTTCAAGGGCAAGCTAGGTTGATGGTAGAACATGAGGAACACAGACATCTATCAAATTCAACTGGTGTTGCTGAACCTGACTGCTCAGAACTTCCCTTCACACCCTTGAAGAAGATTTGCCTCTCCCAAAAGCAGCAGTTCCTTGTACCAGGCATGCCAGCATAACCAGACACCGGATGGTCATAGTGATTCTACACAGCATATCTAACTTGTAAAACTGACTGGTGAAAATGCTCGTCAAATCTCTCACAGAAAACACTGGCACTCTCAACATTTTAAAGTTTTTTTCTCCTTTTCACTTGCCTTCAAAAAACATACTGGCTCACGGGGGAGTGTTTTAATCTATCCATCAAATAGCAAAGAATTCACCATAATAGTTCCTGTGCTCTTTACTGCTTTACAGGAAAGAGTAAAACACACAATTACACTGGAAAATAAAAATAGTGCTATAGAACTTTGTTAGGGGGAAAAAAGTGAGAAGACTTCGTAAATAATTTTTTATGGTAATAAGAGTATTTCTTTTTGTTTATTTTTTACAGAAAAGTGTACCCCAGACTTCAAAATCCATACAATCTCTATGTTACATCTCTCAAGCTGTATGTACAAAAAACAATAAATTTTTATATTACAAAAATAATACTTCAGAGCAATTAACTAAGCAAGTAGAAAGTGTTTCATCTGTTGGTTTTTTTTTGTCTTTTTTGATAATTTATGATGCATATCAAGAGGAAGCACCTGGCAAAAACCACACATACAGCTCAGGCCTGTAAACAGCCTAAGCCATGAGAGGTAGTAAAAGCTTTTATGCTTGCAGATCCCTGAGCATGTATGAGATGAACAGTTCAACTACCATCATGTGCCAGTCATCTTAAGAATTTCAACTTCCTTTCGCCAGGAAGAGACAGAATATTTTCAATCAGTGTTACCTGACTGCAGCCTTAGAGAGGGTGCTAATTTCACAACATTAGCAAGGTAACAGAGGAAAAAAAGAGGAGAGGAAATAGAATCTCCTCTAAAGCAGGACAGAAACTATCTGATTTACTGACACATGCTCACTGAAGCAATTTAGCTTGAAGTAGTTATGCTGAGCTGTCCTTAAACATTGAGAACCAGACAGTTTATTAAAGTTATATCAAATCAATCACTGCAAAACACATTATAGAATATAGGTACATAACACAGGACAATCAAAGGCAAGATTTTTCACAAGTTCATTACCCAGCAAGACTTAGTCATTATCAACAGATTATTTTTCGTTCAAAGAAAACGTTAAATTGCAGACTGAATGCCTATTCATCATTATGTCTGTTTTCAGTTTTGGCCTGCAATTACATTTCCCAAGGCTTTTCAGAGCTGAGTACCAGAAGTGGCAATTGGGTTTGGTTCCTTGCTGTTTTCTTACAGCACACCCCAATTACATAAAGGATATGAACTAGGTAGATAATCCAGCATTTCCCATAATATAACATGTCCCAGGCCTGTATAAATTTCTTGAGCAATCCCTTGACATGGCAGTGCAGTGGGTTTTGATCTTCCATAACAGGTCACAAGCTTGATTTCCAGGTCCCCACAGCACTATGTGACCAAGAAAACCAGGCTGCTTGGACCAGGAGCATTTGGAAGTTGCTGTGCAATAAGTGGGACAATGCCAGACCTTCCTTCCAAACCCCTCTTCCTGAACAATCAATGACATTAAGGGCCAGTTTTGACAGACAGCAAGACAGTTCAAACATTTTGGGATGGCAATAATGTGCTGTGCAGAATTCTCTAATGAGGAGTAGCAGAGAACTGTGCTGTTGTAACACAGGCAGCTTTAGTCATTGCAAAAGAGATTGTGCCACTTTTTCATGCAATGATGACAAATTAGCACACATCAACTAGAATGCTGAACCAGTAAAACTCCACTGTCTATTCTTTTTACTCCTCTACATTTAACTCTAAAGAAACTCAGGGCAATAAACTCAGGACAGCCTATTCCTTTTGTTATTGTTGTTCTTAGATATATTTATGTTAACTACAAACTCAAGTATTAACAGTAAGAAGAAAGTAAACAAAATAAATACTTAAACATTTACTAAGGCATTAAGCAGATACAAAGTCTAGTATCTTTCAAAGTAAAAAGAAAAGAGAAAATCCTGGGTTCATTGAGGAATTTTTTTTGTATCTCACAAAACTCTAAAAGATGCAGATCCATTAAACGTATGAGAAAGAAATCTCACAGAAATGAGCTGGTGTATGCTATTGCTGTGAGTAAAAGAGAAGGGTTTTGTAAATACTCCTCCACATTACTTAGGTCAAATATTCTGCAAAGCATTCACTTAATTTCACCGTATCTCATTATTTATTAAATAATCACTGTAGCTTGCCATATTTATATATCAAGAGGAGAACAATATTTTGAAAGAAGTGTCACAGCATAGGAAGCCATCTTAATGTCATCTGTAAATTTCCTAATTGAAAGCATACTGGTGTCACCTTAGACATTTCATGAAGTAATTGCTTTCCAGAAGTCCATTTCTAATTTTGTAATTCAAATACACAAATTTACTAAAAGTAAAGTGAAGCTAGACCTCAACTCAAAAAAAACATCAAACCAACCTCACAGTAACTGCTGGATTAAAAGACATTTACCAGATAACCAAGAACTGGGATTGCTGCAATTCGCAACAGTCTCTTTAATGTCACTATACATAAAATAGTTCTATGGAGAAATGGTCTACCAGTCCAGGAGCAGTACAGTGGCTGTAAATCTGACCTCAAAGGTTCAAAGAAGCTGCCTAAAATCATGTTTTTCCTTTGGACCTACAGTTTTGGGAAAGGACTTACAGTAAGCAGCCTGGAGAGTGAAAGCAATGAAACTTAGAAAGACCCTTGGTGAGATGTTTGCCTCTTTCTTGCAGTCTCTGCAAACCTTCAGCAGGTCCAGAAGATTAGCGGGAAACAGTTCTAATCTACAGCAATACTGAACAACAACAACTACTTTGACTTTGAAAATAAGAGGGGAAAAAAACCCAAAACAAACTGGCTTGGTTAATGCAACCACTAAGAAATTTAATGCTGCCTGAAAGAACTGAATCAAGAATAACTACCTGTTAGGAATCCATAGTAGTCTCTTATCAATATATTTCCTGATTTTAAATCTATGGCCTTGTAATTTCTTGTGGCATGATCACTGTTTTAGATAAAGAAGATTATGCACAACTCTGTGCATAAAGGGAGATTTTGATCAAGCACTGCCAGTTTGAAAGTTTAGGGGTTTGGTGTTTTGGTTTTTTGACCCTCTAGGAGGATGAGTGAAGGCCAGAAGACAATATTACAGTAGTAAGTTCCTGCTTCACAAAACAGTTTTGGTAAATTAATTTTATTTTGATTGCAGAATCAAGTATTCTCCATGAACTGATTAGGAAAAAGAAGGAATTTTAAAGAATTGCAGCCATCCATTTCCTTGTAGTTCTGTCCTGTATACCAAGTGCAGACTCACGGTCACCTGACTCTCACTCATCACCACAGAATTTGCACCTCTTGTTATAATTTGAAGAATTTTTTAAAGCCAGATGTGCCTCACAACTCACCCACCTGCTATCCAGGCGCCTCAAACACATGGGATCCCACAGCAAGAGAGAAGATACAATGTGATTTTTTAAACCAAATTTTATCCTCAATGACCAAAGCAGGGGGTATTTGGTGCACTGCAGCCCACCAAGCTCTGTAAACTTAATGTATCATACCTGCAGGATCTCACATGCTTACTCAGAAAGGATCAAAATATTTGGCTAAATGTTTCTGTTTGGCGCATTTGACTTTTCTGCACAAGTGAATTTTCTAAAGGGCAAGTCTGCAAGACCAGGCACCACAAGACAGCAGCTTGGGATTCATTCTACTGTTTGTGCTCAAACCAACACTTTGGGCCACGAAAGCATTTTGCAAAATACTGCACCAAGACAAAACAAAATTGTATGTAGCTGTCCTCTGTTCCTGCTTTCTCCTGTTCCGTCCAGTGTGACTGCATTTTCCTAAAGGAGATGGCAAGGAACTATGAGTATGAGTTCTAGTTTGTACACCTTTTGGGGATAGCTGCTTATCTTCCACAGCAAAGCAAAATACCCACATTGCTCCAGATAAAGCCCAGAACTATCTTTTACATCTTATGTCAAATGCAAAGGGCAATAGCTTTATACAGTGTGGGCTTAGACTGTACACTGTTATTTTAGGATGAGGATGTGTGGAGGGAAGGTAGCAATAGCTAGCAGCAAGCAGTGGGGGTTTTTCTTACTTTTAAATATATATAGAAAGATGTTCTGTTTTAAGATGTGTGAAATCTCTTCCGGTACAACATAGAAAACAAATAAACAAGATATTATCACAAGGCAAACAGAATACCACATTATGTGCAGAATGCACAACAGTGTCAGCAGATGCTTAGGAATGAAATACTAGGAAAGAACTTTTAATTAACATTTTTACAGTTCTCATATTTTTTTTTCCTACGGAGAAGATTTTTAAAGCTGTATCTCCTTGGATTGACAATCTTGTCCTTAAAAATCCTCTTATTTTACCTATTTTTTCAGTGTTTTTCTTATGGATGAAGCCAATTTTATTGCCCAAATGAAAAACTGTCAACAGAATATAACACAGAATATAACTCTGCTCACTGACTCTTAAAAAACTCCACAATATCATGATTCTAAGTTCCTTTCATTCATTACCACCATGGCTGAGAAGATTATTACCAACTATGGACCAAACTTCACACTTCTCATTAAATCCAGCACAACAAAATCTTCATTTGGCCACATCTCATAGGACAGTCTTTCAACAACATTGTCACTTCACAGTGTAAACTACAAAACAGTAATGATAACAGTGATCTGGTAAACAACTACTGTCCTAAAAATCCCCTGTATTTCACAGAATATATATTTCCCAAGTGGCTCTCTCTTCCATTTTCTACACTCACCTTGGTTGACTTCTCAGTGCTATGCTCTCGTTTTCCTACATGGTTTCCCATGATGGATCACCAAACTTTAAATTCTGAAAAGATAAAAACAAAACAACATTTTTGAGACCAATACATTTGTAAAGAAATACAAATAAATTTTTAACCTGATACATAACAAAGAAATTTTTCATATTCCATGAGAATTTTTACAATCCAAGGTAAGATCCTAAGGAAGAAAACTCCCATGCTTATCTGGTCTATTTTGCACATTTAAGCAATATTAGAAAGCTTTCCTACTTCTATTAAAAAAAAAAAAAAGACATAAAAGAGAAGGAAAAAAATAAAATGTTATTTTTGAAATTTGCACATAAAACAAAACTAGATTAGAAATTAGGTAGAGGCCCTGTCTTTCAATAGTATGTTTTTAATAACAAACAGTGCAGTACATATCAAATAATTTGTTACTTTAAACTTCCATAAAAGTTCAAGTAAGTTCTTTTGAATTCATATTTACCACTATGTAAACAGCAATTAGTGAAAAAAGCACCACACTAACTGCTAACAATTTGCTGTGGAGGTTAGAACATGTGAGTTGTAGGTTAGAACATGTGAGTTGTTTACAGCTCCCACTATCATGATGAGCACATAAGAAAATATTGCCAATTCTTTCTTCGTATTTTCTGGCTCATCCTGCCGTGTCTCAGCGTAACAGAGTTTATGTAGGTTAAACCACAACATGCAAATTTCAGCTTTTAGAGCACACGCATGGTTGTGCCACATATTTTTTGTAATAGATGCAGGTGTCTGTAGAGGACCTTGCAGCTGCTGCCTTGAGATGATTTGAATGCAGTGCGTCACAGCATTTGAGGCTATGAGACTTAAAATGACATGCATTACTTAAAACTACACGCATGAAATAAAGCAATAGGCTATACAAACTCATATATTGTTATAACCCCAGCTACACGCACTGATTTGTGTACGAAAGGATTCTAAAGACAGAAACTTTGCTTTTGACAAAGGACACATCTGTGATGGGCAGTCATAAGTAATCAATCTAATTTTGTAACTCTACTTCAACTTTTGGAGAGACTGATAGATTTACTTACACACACACTTTACCACCCCACCCAACACCCAAAATTTTCAAATTTTGAGGGTCTACAATGCTCATTTGGCAATTCACTGAATTCAGTTTGCTCTAAGTTCCATGTTATCACTGTATCCAATTAATTAAGTCCTCACAAAAACCCACTTCCAAGGTCTCACAAAATCAAAATTAAAAAGCATCCAAACTCAGTAAATGCACTCAAGATAGAATTTATTGCAAAATTGGAAACAGATTATTTTAAACCAGCACTATCTATTGCATATGAGATTAAAAAAAAAAACAAAAAACAAAAAACAACAACAAGAAGAAAAAACAACCAAAAAAAACCCTCAAAAAAACTAACCCTGTACTTTCTAACTGTGAGATCAGCACTGTCAATTCAACCATTTTTTACACTCTAAAATTTTTCAAGGAAAAATACAGATAAATTCATATACACTGGGTTTCAGACCTGAACTTCTTCAAACTGGGCTTTGCTCTACAAATTATGAACAGCGGCTCATTCCTCATCACCTACTTCCCAACACAAGGAAAGCAGAGTGGAATACAAAACTGTAAGACATGTCTACAGCAGAATATAAAGGCAAATGTTCCATGTGTTATTCTTCCACACATTTATGAAAAAAATTAACTATCAAATTTGGTCTATAACACACATATGTCTCAGTACACAGATGATGAAGCCAACACAACACTTTCAGACCAGATCTGTGACGCTGTCCTCCTGCCTCCCCTTAGCTTCTCTCATGTCTCTGGAGTAACACCCTGAGAACAACCATCCCGTACCCATAAAACACTCACAACTAGATTTTACATGTATCTATATTTTTTTTTTTCATGCATAAATGAATGCAGATGCTTGAACTGAAGAGAAGTTAGCTACAGGTAACTGCTGTTAATTCCTCATGTAGCAATAAAACTATTTTTCAGCCAAAGGGACAAAAGCAACCAGTCACTAGCAAGGGTATCCTAAATGTTACAGATTTCTTCATACTACCTATTAAACAGTGAAATCTAAAGTGAAATCAAAGTAATCCTTTGGCAAAGAAAGGATACCAAGAATCTGATAAGAATTATGAAAGAAATTGTATAGTGCCAACTCTTCTGTAGATATCTGATTAGCAAGTAAAACCACACATACATGCAAGCATTTATAGCAATAAAGACTTAATTTTTCACTTCAGCCTCAAGCAGAAATCCACCTTACTTGACTAAAAACTGAGCACACGGTTGTTTTCACTTCAGGATAAAACACTGAGACTTAAACACTGACTTTGGTTCTTACTGTCCGGAGGGAGACCACACTGAACAGTTTCTACCTGCGCCAATCTTTATGCAATGAGTTGAGTCACTGACTTGAATAGGATTACTCACTTTTACAATCTTTGTAGGAACTTGCAGCCAACTATTCTAAACATCTCAGCTGGGAAAAGATTCATATTTTCTTTTTAGTCACCTTCATAATTAGGTTGCCAGACTAAGCAGCTCCGTATGAAGTGAAGACACAGCTTCTTAGACTTCCTAACCATGTCCATCAACTGAACAATACTCTTTGCAGAGGAATCCATGAATGATTCAGCACCGATGAACAGCCACAAGAACAGTCACAGTGCTCCAAGCAATGAAGAAGCACAAGTACTGTGGAAATGCAATACCTTCTTTGAATCTCACATGAATCACACCTAACAATAAGCTGCCAGAACAGGCCTGCACATGGGATCAAGCTTATGACCATAACATAATTTGCCAAAAACCTTCCTAGTGAAACCCTGCAAGTTTTGTAAATCCTACGAGATGACATGAGCTTGAGTCACAAATGAGAAGGGACATTCTGCATGCCTGCAGTGGATGGAGTTACATCACCAGCTCCCCTATAAAACTCCCCATCAAGAGTTCCTGGTTCCACATTAAAACCATCTGAGAGGCTCAGAAAATTAAAGGCCACACGAGTAAACCGATTTAACAGGACTAAAATCTGAAAACATTTCTGCCTAAAAACTCTTTTGGGTGAAGTGAGTGAATTGGGGCAAGAAATTGTGAGCCACCGCTGCAGGTGCCACCAGCAGAGCCATCCAGCTGCCTCAGCACTATGCCATAACCACCTACGGAGCTGAATCAGCTCTGCTGCCATGACCTGGCACTTCCCAATCCATGACTGATACAGCAGTAACTACACCTATGCCAGCTGCTTTGAGTAATTCCAAAAACAGCAGAGAGATTTTGCCTGGGGAAATGAAATTAAGTGTCTCCTCCCATCAATTCACCTTCTCACAGAGTTAGTCTAACAGACAACCTGATGGAAGCCTAGACCAAGCAGCTTTCCCACTTTCTTCACAGCAGGAACCCATATTCCAACTAGCAACAACTGCAGAAATGCTAGTGCCTTACCCAAGGAGAAAAACTTGTATTTCCAAAACTCAAAATAAAAAAAGAGATGAAAAAACTCTGTCCTACACAATACATACCTATAATAATACACTTATGTTGGCATCATGTAATTTATCTTCATCTGAGCAGTTGATTAAAAATAGGGATTTAAAAACATAAATCATTGTAGCATATTTTAGGCCATTCTAGTCTGCCTGTTGGTATTTGCAGCTAAACAAGTCATTCTAGTCATCTTCCCATACACACCCACTGTCCTATAAAGAAGTTTATGATTTAGAAGTTTCACTGAAAGGCAGAAAAACACTTCTCCAAACCTCCTGAATATAACAAGAAATGCAATGGCATCACTTTCTGCAAGTTATGCAGTTTTAACTGCAAAATATCATTTTCTTACAGGAGCCTGAAAAAAGTTCACCCAGGTAGTCATCAGACTTTAAATATGTGATATTGTAATTGAGGAGTCAAAACAGTCTATAAGCCAATCCACACGGAGCACTTTTATTGAACATTAATGGTTACTTCAAATTAAAAAGCATAAACTACTGAATGTGTATCACACAATGCTGAAAATGGATTTTAAAATATAATCTTACCTCTTCCCACACGTTAATTATGACTCAACAGAACTACACGTAATAATAAAAGTATGCAAGAACTTACATATTTACAGGCATCAGAACATAATTACTACCTTGTCCAGGAATATGTATTCATCACAGACTGATGTTGGGTAATAGTGCAGAGCTACAAGTGTTCCTAGCCTTACTCACACATGGGAAGGGTAACCAAAGAATATAAAAATATTTGAGGAATTTACTTAAAACTTCCTGCTAAATTCATAACTATTCTTACACAAGTAAATATGATGATTTACTCCTATATACAGATCTTATCAAGAAAAAAAAAAAGGTAATTTCTTTTAAGAAATGTGCAAGTTCTCTTTAATTCTTGTAGACTCCTAATGTAAACTCTTAATTACAAACTTACCCAAGGTCTTGTGGTATTTTTTGTTGTTGGGGTTTTTTTTGTTTTGTTTTTTGGGGGTTTTTTTTTGGTGTGTGTTTGGTTTTTTGTTTGTTTGTGGTAGTGTCAGGTCCTGGTTACACGGTTTCCTGGGAAGAAAGCTGACACATTGCACAGCAGTGGCTGCCAGCTAGATGGAAATCTCTGAGTGGTTTTTTCAAGCTCTCAGTGTGATACACCTCTTTCCAAGGAAGCCTTTCACTTAATCTTCTTTTAAAACAAGACTGAGGCACTGAGCATGCCTCATCTGTTTCTTCAGAATTTCCTCATCGTGGTAACCAAATATTTCAACTCACCAAGGAAGAAAACCTCCAGCAGGCACAAAAGAGTGACCTGCAGCTAAATCCCTCAGCAGCCACAGTCAGACGTTTCACAGACAGATGTGAGCAACCACGTAACTAAAGTAACCTGCCTCATGGACAAAGTGCTCCTCAGGAATCCCACCCTCTTAATTCAACTAAAATAATTTCATAAAATATAGTGCCTTAAACCCTTGCAAGTTTCATTGTTATTTAACGCAGATATAATTTTTCATTATTGTGAAAGAGTGCAATACTTCCTAAATCAAAC